ACATTATTTTTCACATATTTTACATTATTACAACACCTCTCTCCCCAGTCTGGCATGAACGGCTCGAATAGTTCCTGTATCAGATGAAGGTCCGCCTTCTGAAATATGAAATGTGCTGTGATTGGTTGGCTGGGCCGGTGTGTGCTGTGATTGGTTGGCTGGGCCGGTGTGTGCTGTGATTGGTTAGCTGGGCCGGTGTGTTGATTGGTTAGCTGGGCCAGTGTGTGCTGTGATTGGTTAGCTGGGCCAGTGTGTGTTGTGAGTGGTTAGCTGGGCCAGTGTGTGTTGTGATCGGTTAGCTGGGCCAGTATGTGCTGTGAGTGGTTAGCTGGGCCAGTGTGTGTTGTGATTGGTTAGCTGGGCCAGTGTGTGTTGTGATTGGTTAGCTGGGCCAGTGTGTGTTGTGATTGGCAGCACTCGGCACCTGGTCGGGAAATGTCATGGGGTTGTAAGGGGTTACCATAGCCGCCTGAATAAAATATCTCCTTTTGAAGCTGACTTTGAGCTTTGTAACTTTGCAGATTTTTTTTATTCTCAAACAGCAACATTACAGACTAACTAAAGTTGAAAAAGTGAAAAAGCATAAAAGGACCCCTTTAAAATCCTAAATATATTCACACATAAATCTGATGCATACGAGACGCACGTTACAACCAGGTGTAAACGGCTCAGAGTCATGCTCACAGACCGAGAGCGATTGGGATTTTGTAAGAGTCGTTTAACATCAATCATCCATCAGCAGAAGACAGTGTGCAAGCAAAGACGAGAGACGCCCGCTCTTCCCGTCAGAGTCATGCAGGAAAGCTGAAGACGGGACGGTTAGAGCCCGGATCACGAGGGCCGCTTTACACTTACTGAGCCGAGGGAACTCAGACTGTGGCCATAGAGCTGCAGTGAAACAGCAGAGGATCTCTGGGCTGCGTGCGGCTGACTGTTCACTGGGCTTAAGTGCTTTAAGTTCGACTGCTTGATGAAATTACTGTTGGCCACTGAGCCAGCGCTAACGTCAGAAAACACGTGATCCTTTTCACAGGCCGTTACGTGCAAGCTGCCTAAAGATTTAGCAAGCCTTGAATGTAAAGGGCTGTGAAAGGAAAACGTCAACCGTGAATATGAACGTCAGACTTGCTCAAGACGCTTTAGCGATTTTAATGCAAAAGGATTAAAAACGCAGTGAAATACCTACCTAGTGGCCCTGATGGATCCAAGGGAAGCCCGAGTTCTTTTCCTTTTATCTGAGCTATATGGAAGATATTTTACAGATTATATGACAGACGTACAATCCTGCACACGTAATT